TTAAATCACATAAGAATTCATTAAAGCCAAGAAGAGCCTATATAGCTTGGGAAAGCGATAGCGACTCCTCCTCCTCTGATGAAAGCTCAAGTGATGAAGAAGAATTTGTGAACCTATGCCTTTCCGCACATCAAAAGAATAAGAAAAAGCAGGTACGTCACTCTAAATATGAAAATTCCTCAAAAATGTCACATTTCGAATTACAAGCCACATTTAATACTTTACACAATGAAGCAACAGAAGCCTTTAAGAGACTTGCCTCTAATAAAAGAATTTTTACTTACCTAGAGCACAAAATTAAAGAGTACGAAAGGAAACTTAAGGAACTTAAGGCTTCCATAGTGGAAAGTAATAAATCGGATTGTGAGGACCATAGCAAATTCCCCGACTTTGGATGCACTACTTGTTATATTTGGCAAGGTGAAGCTAGAAACCTAAAGGCCAAACTTAACAAGACTCTTAAGCCTAAAATTACATTTGCTATTGATAAAGTTGATTTTAGAAAAAGTATGGTGAATCCATATCAAAAATATACCTATGTAATTAGGGATCAAGAGAGTAAAGGCAATTCTAAAGTTGACTTTTCATGCTTATATTGTTGCAAGAAAGGCCATTCCATTGCTAAATGCCGATTTAGGAGATTTTTGGTTCCTAAAAGCATCTATCAATGGTTGCCCAAATGCAACCACTTTGTCACTAACAAATTAGGACCCAATATGCCATTGGGTACCTCCTCTTGTTGATTATTCTTTCATAGGTACAATGTGTCGAGACCACCGAGAGAAGATGGGTTCTCGACAGTGGATGTTCAAGACACATGTCCGGAGACATATCCCTATTCATAGACTTCGTGGCAAAGAAGAAAGGGTATGTAACATATGGCGATGAAAATCGTGGAGCAATACTTGGTAAAGGTAGTGTAGGTAACCCTTCTTCCACTACTATTTCCGATGTGTTGCTTGTCGAGGGTCTTAAACATAATCTGCTTAGCATTAGCCAATTATGCGACAAAGGATACAATGTATCGTTTTCAAAAGAGTGTTGCAAAATTGTGCATAATAATGACAAGAAGAATATGTTTAATGGCCTAAGAGTGAACAACGTCTATATGCTAGACTTGAATGAGGTATCGTTAACAAGTGACAAATGTCTCATGACAATGAGTGAAGACTCATGGTTATGGCATAGGCGTTTAGCACATGTTAACTTTGACTTGCTAAATAAAGTAGTTTCAAAAGATCTAGTCTTAGGTCTCCCCAAAATAAAATTTACCAAGGATCACCTTTGTGATGCTTGCCAAATGGGAAAGCAAACGAGGATCTCTTTCAAATCCAAAAATATTGTCTCAACTACGCGACCTCTCGAGCTTCTCCATATGGATTTATTTGGGCCATCTAGAATTAAAAGCCTAGATCGAAACTATTATGGGTTTGTAATAGTGGATGACTTCTCTAAATTTTTTTGGACTATCTTTTTGGCTAGCAAAAGTGATACATTCGCCGCCTTTGAAAAATTTGCCAAACTTTCCCAAAAATAAATTAAGCACAAACATTGTGTCAATTAGAAGCGACCATGGAGGTGAATTTGAAAACCATTTATTTGAAGAATATTGCGGTAACTACGGTATTTATCATAATTTCTCCGCTCCACGGACTCCTCAACAAAATGGGGTGGTTGAGCGCAAAAATCGCATTTTAGAAGAGTTGGGAAGGACAATGATCAATGAAAGTGGACTACCGAAATATTTTTGGGTCGACGCCATAAGTACGGCTTGTTATGTTTTGAATAGGGTGCTCATTCGCCCAATTCTAAACAAAACACCTTACGAGCTTTTTAAAGGGCGCAAGCCAAACGTGTCTCACCTACATGTTTTCGGTTGCAAATGTTTTGTCTTAAATAATGAAAAGGAAATTTTGGGTAAATTTGACTCTAAGGCTGACAAAGGTATTTTCCTTGGATACTCTCAGTCGAGTAAAGCCTATAGGATCTACAATAAAAGATTACTTATTATCGAAGAATCGGTACATGTAACATTTGATGAATCTTATTCGAGAAATGTCGGAAAAGGTAATGTGTTTCATGGTGCAGGTACATCTACTGAAGACATACTCAAAGATGCAGAGCCGGGAATTGATCAGCCCGACAAAGCAAAAGTTGAGAAGGAAAAAGAGGTCCAACATGAAGAAACTGAGGTAGATCACCCATCTACAAGTAATGCTCTCCCTCAAGCTTGGAAGTCTTCTAAAGATCATCCAATAGACAACATTCTCGGAGACATATCCAAGGGTGTTACTACTCGATCTAAGATAAGTAATTTTTGTTATCACTTCGCTTTTGTTTCACAAATGGAACCTAAAAACCCTAAAGAAGCCTTACTCGATGAAAACTGGTTTTTGTCAATGCAAGATGAACTTAATCAGTTCACGAGAAATGAGGTATGAGACCTTGTCCCTCCTCCGCGAGGATATAGAGTAATCGGCAAGTTGGACGAAAACAGAGTAATAACTCGTAACAAGGCGTGTTTAGTCGCGCAAGGATATAACCAAGAGGAAGGTATCGACTATGAGGAAACTTATGTGCCGGTTGTCGGACTTGAGGCTATACGTCTTTTGCTTGCCTTCGATTGTGCGAAGAATTTTAAGTTATTTCAAATGGACGTTAAAAGTGCGTTCTTTAACGGATACATAAATGAAGAAGTCTATGTTGCACAACCTCCGGGTTTTGAGTCTCATGAGTATCCTGATCATGTCTACAAACTAAAAAGGGTTTTATATGGACTCAAACAAGCTTCTAGAGCTTGGTATGAGCGACTAAGTAAATTTTTACTTGATCAAGGTTACTCAAGAGGAAAGGTTGACACTAATCTCTTCATTAAACGTCAAGGAAAACACTTGATATTAGTACAAATTTACGTTGACGATATTATATTTGGATCTACTAACATGAATCTCGTGAGAGAGTTTTCTAACCTTATGCAGGGTGAATTCGAGATGAGTATGATAGGTGAACTCACATACTTTCTCGGATTGCAAATTAAACAACTTAAAGAAGGAACATTCGTGAGTCAAACAAAATACTGTTTGGAACTTCTCAAGAGATTTGACATGGCAAACTCGAAGGCCATTGACACTCCTATGCCAACATGTGTAAACCTGAATAAAGATAAAAGCGGTAAGGACGTAGAGGTAAAAAGGTATAGAGGTATGATTGGTTCTTTTCTCTATCTTACTGCTTCTCGACCTGACATTATGTTTAGCGTGTGCATGTGCGCAAGATACCAATCATGTCCCAAAGAATCTCATCTAAAATCTGTCAAACGTATACTTCGATACCTATCGGGCATTCCGAAGTATGGACTATGGTATTCCAAAGGTAATGATTGCTCATTGGTAGGTTTCTCCGGTTCCGATTTTGTCGGTTGCATATCGGATAGGAAAAGCACTAATGGTACTTGTCATTTATTTTCAAACTCCTTGGTCAGTTGGCACAGCAAGAAACAAGTTTCAGTTGCTTTGTCAACCGCCGAAGCGGAATACGTTACCGCCGGTAGTTGTTGTGCTCAAGTCCTATGGCTTAAGCAATAATTATTGGATTTTAACCTCAAACTAGATCGTATTCCCATTTTCTGTGACAATACAAGTGCTATTAATCTCACCAAAAATCCTGTGTTACATTCTCGCACCAAACATATCGAAATTCGACACCATTTTCTTAGGGATCATGTAGAGAAAGGTGATCTTGTTTTTGAACACGTTGACACCAAAAATCAACTAGCGAACATTTTCACAAAGCCGCTAGCCACTGAACCTTTCTTTCATATCTTTCGAGAACTTGGCATTCTCGAAATTTCGGATCGGGTATAATAATTGCTTGTTTTGTCTTACTTCATTTACAATTACATTCTTGTACTTCTAACAAGCTAAGTTTTGTTGCAAGCACAAGTATATTGTTATCAAGCTTTTCCGGTATAGAGGTGATGTTGTTCCATTTTTTTTCTCTCTCAAAATATTCATGATTCAATTATTGTAAATAAAAATGAATAAAATGACAAATATGAAAGTTAATGCAATTGTATTTTGAAGAGTTGATAGTTGATTAAAAAAAGTCAGGTAGAATCATTTAAATTTTTAATTGAAATTTTTGCATGTATGTTTACATGAAATTACAAAATTTTCGATAATTCAAAAAATTAAAATTGTACTGAAAATTATAAATACACTACCTGAAATTTTAATTGTATCTAAAATATTGAATTACCTACCAAAACTTTTATATGCAGATTTGAATTCAATATTGAGAAGTGGCATTTTTGAAATTATCATATAAAATGGGGTGCCAAATATAAAAGCGTGGTGACAGATTAAATCCTCAACGAATAAACAACATACATCACCTGCAGTTGCAGTTCGTAAATATACACTCGCCTGCAGAGGATCTAACCTCCCAATACCACTTCCACTATAAAACCGAAGATATTTCCGTGCTGAAATCATTTTCAAGCGTGAGTGAGATCTTCTGCTTAAACCCTAGCCGCTTCACTCATTTCTCAGGTAATTTTCTTCCTTCAACCCTAAAACCCTGATTCGTGCTCCATAAACAAACTATACGTGAATTTGTTCCAGTTTCGTTCTGTTAATTCGTCATTTAAATTTTTGCATCAACATATTTATTGTTTGATTTGTTTTTCTATAATTCTCTGCACATTTTAGGGTTTATCAGTTTTTCATTTCTTCGGATTTATCAGGAGTTCAAATCAATTCATCTAAATTTGTGTTCATTTTTGCTTAAGCTATGGTAGATAATTATAATTATACGCTTTTCTGTTCTTGTCTGGATTCACATGCTGTTAAATTTTTGCGTTATCTTCCAATTTACAATGACAGTTGTTTTGATTTTTTGTGTGTGTGATGATGTAGTTTTTACTCCTGTGATTGTGTTAATACTGGTGTTGTTGTTTTTGTATTAGTAACTTTGAAGGCTTAGCTCAGTCTTCAATCAAAATGGCTTTCTGTAACAAGCTTGGAAACCTCTTGAGGCAGGGTGCTACTCAGAGTAGCCATGCTCCTGTTTCATCCATGCTTAACTATCTTCGCCACATGTCTTCAAGCAAGCTTTTCATTGGAGGTGTGACTTTGGTTTTAAATCCTTGTTATTGTAATGGCAATATGTTATTGATATTGTTAATGTTTTTATGTTATTAATAAATCTTGTGTTTCTGTCTTTTGTTGTTGCCGCAGGTCTTTCTTATGGAGTTGATGACCAGTCTCTTAAGGATGCATTTGCAAGCTATGGGGAGGTCATCGAGGGTGAGTTCATCTTTAGTTATTGTTGCTAATTGGTTTGATTTAGCTTAGTTATCCAATGTGTTGTCCAATAATCCCATTTGTATTGTTTGCTGAAGAATTATAGAAATTGTAATATGTCTAGGGATTTCACTTGTTTATGATATTATTTGCATCTGGAACTTGTTATAAATGCGAAGATTTAGGATATTTTTTCATGTAATTCATGCATTATAATGGATGTGTCTTTGGTTTCATGATTTTTGTGATATCGGCTTTGATTGATGTTGATGTTGCTACAATCATATCTTTGGCTAATTCTGTTTTCAGCAAGAGTTATCACTGATAGAGACACCGGAAGATCGAGGGGATTTGGATTTGTCAACTTCACTAGTGATGAGTCTGCAACTTCAGCACTCTCTGCTATGGATGGGCAGGTTGTAATATTATGCTGTTAAATATTGATAACTTTTTAATTGTATATGTTAGTTAGTTGACTGACATTCTTTTGTTTATCAGGATTTGAATGGGCGTAACATTCGTGTGTCCTATGCAAATGACAGACCTTCTGCACCACGTGGTGGTGGTGGTGGTTATGGTGGTGGCTATGGGGATGGTTTTTCAAACCGTGGTGGTGGTGGTGGAGGAGGTGGCGGTTGGTGATGCATCTTTTAATTTGTGTTTTCTGGTTATGTTGAGTTCTTGTGTCGAAAAACTCTATGAACTTGTTAGTGTCCAAGTGGAAAATCACTAATTAGTGAAATGTTATGGATTTTTTTTTTCACAATTTGGTGGGTTATGTTTTTTAGGTTCAATGTGTTTAACTCCTAAAATAATATAGTAGAATATGACATGCTCTTCTATAATTCTTAGTAATTCTTAGTTGTCACGGTTAATGTTGCCGGAAATAGTTCACTGTGGTTTTATTATTTGATTTGAATACGTACTCGTTATATATTCTTTTAAATAAACTAGTAGTCTTTTAATGTAGCATTTGTCTATGGTGTCTGCTTTTTATTATTTTTGAGTGTTAAGTACGACACTCTACCACATTCTCTTAACATTCGTTTCTTAAACTATGGTGTACTTATTTGAGTATGACACTGTCACATTCTCATTACACCTATTTCTTAACCATAAAATCTCTTCTAAATCAAGTGCGGTTCATATGAATTTCAACAATTTCAACTAAATATAGTGTATTATTAACGTATTAGAGTTTATTTTTGACATACCTTATTATTTATGTTCGGTTGCATTTAAACATTTGCTCTTTAGCATGGCCAGCACAGCTGTAAATTAAAATCTTCACTCACTTCTTTTTTTAATGATTTTGTTGCACAATATTCACCGCGCTTGCAAATGTTTATTTTGGGGGACAAAACATTGGATAATTAAGCTAAATCAAATCACTTAACATCCTAAGTAAGTATTGCATCAGAATTCGGAAATATATTGCATCCTCGTCTTGATAAAAAACCAAAACTACCTCTAGTATAAAACGAAACTACCCTAGAATTTAGAAATGCATTTGAATTGGGAAAATGTATTTTCAACAAATTAATCAACAATGTATACACTAACTAATCAATGATCCGAAACGTCTAGTGATTATTAATAAGAGCAACCCTTTTAATTGACAGTCATGGATGCTGTTGTTACTCAAGGATACTGCTGTCTTATTCACAAAATCTTAATACAAATCCATCTAGATTTTCAATCTCTTTGCTCCTTACACTTATTCCACGCGTAGTCGCTGCAATGGTTTCACCAACTCATTTTAAAATATAGATAGTAAAAGAAGTATCATGCCAATATTATATATTATGCAACTTTTGTCTGTGGGATAAACAATTCCGGTTCTTCAATTTTTGTCTGTTTGTAATCCCAAATTTGAAAGTGCAAACGAACAATCGGGCTCATTATGATGTTAAGTTTTGATTGGGTACTACTATTTTTTAGCCCAAACACAAGTTTGCATGAACATTCAAGTATATTTTGGACCCACTTAATGTTTCCGTTGGAAAGGAAGTCCAATTAGTCATTACAGTTTTAAATTAGTTATTGCAGAATGCCAATTTCTTTTTTATAATAGTAAGTTTTATTTCTGAAAACTCAAAAATACTCTTAAGTAATTTTAGAGATAAATATCTGAACACACTAAATTTTATTTTTGTTAAAATTTAGTTCGAAGATATATTTGCGAAGATTTTTTGTAGTGAACTTGCAGATGCATATCCGAAAAGACTCCTTAAGCCATTTAAACAACACTTTCATTAAGATGGTTTATCATTTAACCATTAAGTAGTATTTTTAGAGATGTATCTCCGAAAATCTCAAGTGGGAAATTGAATATATGGCCACCTTGTATGATTATCTCTCCCACACTCCATACTTTCTCCATAACCCAAACCCTTAAAAAAATTCAGTTTCAATTAACTTTTTGACTCCAAATCATCATTCTTGTGTTTTTATCACATTAAAGGGAGAAAAAGATGCTGCAATTTATGGTAAAGTTCATTCATTTCATACCTCATTGCTCGCAGTAATCTTGTTCTTGAGCTGAAAAAATAAACGTTACATCCGAATATACATCTCCTAATTCACATGCTATTTGTTTCGGAGATGCATCTTTGAAGTTGCCCATTACTATGATTTTTTAACAGTTTTTTTTTTGTTTTGATTTGTATTAGATATGATACACTCAAATATGTTTTTCGAATATGCTGTAAGTAATGATGTAAAACCAAATGAAGTGAAAGATGATATTAAATTGTATGAGGTGAATGGTGATGCTAGATCGGGTGCTAGACCAATTGATGTCGAGTTAGATGTTGGTCAACAACTTAGACCTGAACAACTATTTACAGCTCGTGAACATATACTTGAATGGGTTCGCATGAAGGCTAGGAAATTAGGATCTGAAATTATAATCGAATTGTATGTCATCTTAAATCATAGGAGAAGAAAATTGTTCATGACATGTCTTTAATTAGGGCAGTGCCGGAAAACATACTTGTAGATTTGAACGGAAAAAATCGAAAAGTGTTTCAAATATCTAACAAGTGTACACTGCACGTTAGCGAAACAACATGGCGACAAGAGGTCCAAAATTCGAAATGCGACAACTTTTGAAGCTTTTGGATGATAACCACTATGTTTTTAGGTACAAAGTTTTTTAGGATAAAGTCACTATTCGTGACATATTCTGGACTCATCCCGAAAGTATCAAGGTGTTCAACATATTTCCCACTGTCCTCATAATTGATTCAATGTATAAGACCAACATGTATAGGCTCCAGCTTCTGGAAATTACTGGTGTTGCTTCTACGGAGAAGATTTTTCAGTGGGATTTTGCATTTTTGGAATCCGAAAAGTGGTCAACATTACACGTGCCTTGGAAATGTGCAAGACTTTGTTGAAGGGTCAAGTAAATATGCCAAATGTAATTGTCACCGATTGAGAAACCACACTGATGAATTCGATTGCAAAAGTGTTTCCTACATCCTATGAATTACTTTGTCGATATCACATAATAAAAATTGTGAGAAGTTGGCTCAAACTCGTGGTATGCACCAAAGAAATCAAGGGTAAAGATGAAAAAATGGTCAAACCTAGTGTGGTGTTGGAAAAGATAATGGATGCATGAAATGGTATATTAAATTCATCCACATAAGACTTGTATGTTGCATCTGTAATACATTTTAGGAGTGTGTGTATCAAGTATCCATATTTCTTGAAATACGTTGAGATTAGTAATCTGGACCAAGTGAAAGAGAAAATTGTTTGTGCTTTGACCGATCAAGTTAGACACCTAGGCAATACAACAACTAACAGATTCGAATATGCACGTTCGACATTAAAGAAATGATTGGGTGAAGTAAGGGTGATTTTTGTAGAGAGTGGAACACCATGAACCAAATGCTTCAAAACCAACAAAATGAAATACATATAACTTTTGGTCAGAGCTTTACCGTGTTACAAGACATATTCAAAGACAACACTCTTTATTCAAAGTTGGTTGACAACATATCTCAGGCGTGATTGAATTTTATTTTTCACGAAGCGAAGCGAGCAGAGTAGACAAGTTCAAATAGTTCAAAGTATGAATGCACACTTAGGAAGACTTACAGTTTATCACATGATTGCCTCATTTAAAAAAAAGATGAAACTTGATGCCACGATACGTATGGATGAAGTGTACAGTCACTAGAAAAGGCTCCGATTTGATGATGATGGTGTGATGAAGGATGGTAAAGCAGATATAACTATCATGACCGAGTGGAAAATAATGCAAGTTAGATTTTCTAAAGCTGACGACACCATGAAATTGCATATCAAAGAGAAGATGAGGATGATTGCCTATCAAGAATCCACAGATTTGAAACCTCATTCGGAACCGGTTAAAACCAATGGGCCCATAAAAAGTCAAAATGACACACGATGACAATATAATGAAGCAAACTTCTTCATATTTTGAACATGTCGATTCACATTTCCTGGATTCTCTAACACCAAAATCTCAAAAAAGTGTCTACAAGTGTGCTCGCATTAGCAAATCACCTCCTTCATCGCCAAAATTGAAAATCATCTTCATCGAAGAAATGTCATTTTTTATGCACAAACACATTGAGAAGATTGTAAATGTTAAAGAGGATGGTAATTGTGATTACCAGACCTTATCCGACTTCCTCGATAGGGGAGAGAAGAATCCCTTTCTTGTCCGCCAACAACTTTTGAAAGAGTTGACGACACATATGGAATTCTATGCATATTCGATAAACCTCATATTTATTAAAAAAACTATCAGGGAAGTTTATGGCTATACATATCGTTAAATAAACTTTTTCATTAAAAGACCAGGGTTTATCCAAAAATGCAACTCCGAAAAGTGATCGGATGACATGATAAAGTGCTAAGGTCCAAAGTGACCCAATACTTGTATAAATAGGGCGCCTCTCAACCCATATTTTCTACAAAACACACAACAACCAGAGAATGAATGTATATCCCCACCTTGTAATGGAAGAAAGCCACAATTTCAATTTAGGGTCACCGATGACACACCTTTCGCCGATGTGATATCTAAATAATCAGAGAGTTGTCAAACTGGAGTATCATTCACCATCGTTTGACAGCGAAGGAAAGATACAGTTCACCAACTTTGAAATGAAGACGAATGAAGATTTATAGGTCATGTGGAATACATTTTACCGTTAAGCATCAAAGAGTCCGATTGAAGTGCATGCGAAGATTGAAAGATCCTCCGACGATATTATCAATATATTGCAACATCTTGAACTGCCCATTTATAACGATATGTAATGTTAAATTTATGTTAATGACTATATATGTAATGTTGAGTGTTTTAATTTAATGTAAAATGATTTTGTTTCTAGATCTTGTTCATACTATCGCTGTTTTTGATTTAAAGTATATGGACTACTTTCAGATATGTATCTCAGAAAAAAATCAAAAAAACATTCGAAGATACAACTCCGAACAAAAATTAGATAAAATTGAAGTGTTTCACTCGTTGACATTCAATTTTCTAAAAAAATAATTACGTTCAGAGGTGCATCTCCAAAAGTAACTGATATTTTTAACTTTTTATAAAAAAAAACTATAAAAATGAAAAATAAATTGACTTACAAAATTAAATA